GGTTTTGGTTCTTTTTCTTTTGGGCTTCTGTCCCCCGGCCACCCGCAAGTTTCCCGAAAATCCAGGTCTGAAAACCCGCAAGTTTCCGAAAATCCATCTGTCAATGCCTTTGTTGCCCCAACTTGGCCCAAGATGGCCTCCAAGACGGCCAAGATGGCCCAAGATGGCCTCCAAGATGCTTCCAAGACGGCCAAGATGGCCTCCAAGACGGGTAAGATGGCTCCAAGATGCACCCAAGACGGCCCAAGATGGCCTCAAGATGGTCTAAGACGGCCCAAAAGGCCCGCAAAAGGCCTCCAAGACGGCCCAAGAGCCCTCCAAGACGCCCTCCAGGAAGGCCCGAATAGGTTAAAATCATTGATTTTCCTTAGGTTTTCAAGGATTTTGGCATGTTCTTCTTTTCAGCTCTCCGACGGCCCAAGACGGCCCAAGAGGTCCCCAACATCGCCCCAACAGCACCCAAGAGGCCTCCAAGATGGCCCCATGACGGCCCAAGAGGCCCCCAAGAAGGCCCCAAGAGGGCCTCAAGACGGCCCAAGAGGCCCCCAAGATGGCCCAAGAGGCCCCCAAGAGGGCCCCGTGACGGCCCAAGTGGCCTCCAAGATGGCCCCAAGAGGGCCCCAAGACGGCCCAAGAGGCCTCCAACACGCCCACGATGGCCTCCAAGACGCCCAAGATGGCCTCCAAGACGGCCCCGAAGCGCCCCAAGAGGGTCCCCCGTTGGCCCAGAAAGGCCCCCAAGACGGCTCCCGACGGCGTCAGACGTGCCAGGAACCCACCAAGATGGCCGAAGTTGGCTCGAAGCTGGCCCAAGACGGCCCAAGAGGCCCCCTAGAGGGCCTCCAGGAAGGCCAGATCGCCGACAGATCGCCCAAGAGGCCTCCAAGACGGCCACGATGACCTTCAAGATGCCCACGTGTTCCCCGAAGGCTTTCCAAACCGATTCGGGGAACACATGGTCCGATGGCTTGACAGGTCTGGCGTCAACGTTCGGCCACATAGGCGCTTCCAAAAAGGCAGGGGGCGGCGGTGATTCGCCGTAGGCGTCTTCGATCCGCCGCCCCCTGTTGATTCATCACAAGGGTGCCTGGCGTGCTAGACTATTACGGTTTTGGTTCTGGTTCGTTTTCCAAAAAAACTCCTCCTGGGGCTTCGGCCCGTCCCGCTGGCCACCCGGAAGGATGCCGAAAGATCTTCCAGAGGTGGCTGCAAAGGGTTTTTCCGTTCCAGACGGCTCCAAGATGGCCTCCAAGAGGGCCAAGATGGCCTCCAAGACGGCTAAGATGGCCCCAAGATGCCTCCAAGACGGCCCAAGGTGCACCCAAGACGGCCTCAGATAGCCTCAGGATGGCCTCAACATGGCCCAAGACGGCCCAAGAGGCCTTCAATACGGCCCCAAAGGCCTCCAAGAGGTCCTCCAGGAAGGCCCGAAGAGGCCAAAATCATTGATTTTCCTTCGGATGTTGAAGGATGTTGGGATTTGCTTCTTCTCGGCATTCCGACGGCTCAAGACGGCCCAAGAGGCCCAAGATCGCCCACGAGGTCCCCATGATGGCCCCATGACGGCCCAAGAGGCCCCCAAGACGGCCCCAAGAGGCCTCCAAGACGGCCAAGATGTCCCAAGATGGCCTCTAAGATGGTGCAAGATGGCCTCCAAGTCCGCCCCAGAGAGGAGGAGATGCCTCCAAGTCCGCCCAAGAAGCCTCCAAGACGGCCCAAGACGACCCAAGAGGTGCCCAAGAGGCCCCCAAGACGGCCCAGGAGGCCTCCGAGAGGTTCTCCAGGAGGGCCCGAAGAGGCCAAAATCAGTGCGTTCCCTTAGGTTTTTGAAGGATTTTCGTATTTGCTCCTTTTCGGCTTTCCGACGACCCAAGACGGCCCAAGAGGCCCCCAAGATCGCCCCTACAGCGCCCAAGAGGCCTCCAAGGCGGCCTCAGGACTGTCCGAGAGGCCCCCAAGACGGCCCCAAGAGGGCACAAAGACGACCCAAGAGGCTTCCAAAACGCCCAAGATGGCCTCTAAGACGGACCTGGAGCACCCCAAGAGGGCCCCAAGTCGGCCCAGAGAGGCCCCCCAAACGGCTTCCGACGGCGTCAACGGGCCAGGAGCCCACCAAGATGGCCGAAGTTGGCTCGAAGCTGGCCCAAGACGGCCCAAGAGGCCTCCAAGAGGGCCTCCAGGAAGGCGAACAACATTGTTGTTTCCTAGGTGTTAGAAGGTTTTTGACATTTGTTTCTTTTCGGCCAAGACGGCCCAAGAGCCCCCAAAGATCGCCGAAAGATCGCCCAAGAGGCCTCCAAGATAGCCCCAGAACAGCCCAAGAGGCCCCCAAGACGGCCCAGGAAGCTTTGAAGACGCCCAAGATGGCCTCCAAGACGGCCCTGGAGCATTCCAAGAGGGCCCCAAGTCGGCCCAGAGGGGCCCCCCAAACGGCTTCCGACGGCGTCGGACGCGCCAGGAGCCCACCAAAACGACCGAAGATGGCCCTAAGATGGCCCAAGACGGCCCAAGAGGCTTCCAAGAGGGCCTCCAGGAAGGGCCGCGAATGTCAAAATCATTGAGTGCCCTCGAGTTTTTTTAAGGATTGTGGCATTTGCTTGTTTCTGCCTTCCGACGGCCCGAGACGGCCCAAGTGCACCCAAAGATCGCCCAAGAGGCCCACGACGGCCCCCAGAGGCCCCCAAGACGGCCCAAAACCAACACGCTCAAGATGGCCTCCAAGACGGCCCAAGAGCACTCCAAGACGTCCTCCAAGAAGGCCCGAAAGGGTCAAAATGGTCTCCAGGCGGCCAAGATGATTTTCAAGATGCCCACGTGTTCCCCGAAGGCTCTGCAAACCGATTCGGGGGAACACATGGTCCAATAGCTTGGCAGGTCTGGCCTCAACGCTCGGCCACCTGGGCGCTTCCAAAAAGGCAGGGGGGCGGCGGTGATTCGCCGTAGGCGTCTCAGATCTATGTATCTGTGCACACACACTACGCCGTTAAAACTCATGGCGTTCTAAGAGAGCGTCAAAATGATGTGGGTTTCGTCCGTTACTTCCGCGCGAGCGGGTGGGCGGAGGCTGACCCCTGTTCCGACCGCTCCGAGCTGGCTCCCCTTCCCCACTAGAACCCGAGCGGGCTGAATTGAGTGCAGCCGGATCAAAGATACAAGAGTTCAGAGCATGGGAACTCTTCCTATAAGATCTTAGAACATTTATAAGGCAGAGTAGTTCTCAATTACAACGTACAGTCACATGGGCTAGGAAATCACACCAGACGGAAGACTGCCCCTGCCTATCAAGATGATCGCATTTCACTTTAGCACGCAACTTTCGCAACGCCGATGAACATACGTATATATATATATATATACATATATATAGGCGTACGTTTATGTACCTGTGTGTACTTATACATGTACACATGTCCCTCACCCAAGCAACTGAGCTGTACATCATAGGGCACCACACATTCTTCTTCCTAAGCAACGGGCAGTTTACTGGCGCCCCCGCATTGCATGCAAACTCCCGAATGAGGGCCACGCAAGCTGTGAGAACCTCCGACGGGGTCAACGTCACCATATGATTGGTGCGCTGTTGGATGTATGGGACGACAAAACACCAGGAGCAGCGCTCAAGCCAACCTGCAACAGGCGAGCCGTTGCGCACAACCGGGTGCTTGTGGGGACGGTAAGCGTGCAGATGACGCTACCAGAGACCAAGCTTCGCGAATGACCACGTGAACTAACAATCCCGACATGAAGTAGAGGAGGGGAGGGAGAGGAAGGAGGAAGGGGACGAGAGGGGAAGGTATAAGTAGGCCACGCTGGTCATCGCCCGACTCCTGCCAATCAGGGCGCCCTGACATATAATTATATAAATACATATATGCATACTTAGATTTACACATACAAATGAACACATGTTCACATAACAGTATGTGTATACATATAGGTAGATAGACATATATATATATATATATATATATATATACAGATACATATAGATTTATATATAATGTTAGATAGATAGATAGATAGATAGATAGATAGATAGATAGATAGATAGATATATAGACATATAGATAGATAGATAGATAGATAGATAGATAGAGATATATATATATATATAGATAGATAGATAGATATATATATATATATAGATAGATAGATAGATAGATAGATAGATAGATAGATACATAGATCGATATATAGATTGCGTGTGCGCATGCAGAAAATCAACGGCTTCTACCTCATCGGGCGCTCTCTGGAGGTCGGACGCCCCTGGGGGAGTCTTTCGAGGGGAAGTATCTGATGACCTCTGAAAGCCTTCTCCGAGCTGCCAAGCCCAATTTGGTGGTTTCCCCGAGGGACCCGGGGCCGCCAGGACGGCCCCGTTCCCCGTTTGAAGGCAGCAATATTCGCGGCCCTTTCCGCCTGCGCCGTGACAAACACACGCACAGAGCCATAGACCAATGTTTTGCCAGATAGTGCTCACGAAACCGTTGTCCAGAATCGGCGCGCGCTCGCGCATCGACATCAGGAGCTTCAGCGCACGAACTCGTAGTAGGCGTAGGGATGAACTCGGTGGCAGCTGGGTGGAAAGGGGCTCTCTATCCCAACGGGGACGCACGCGCCCAGCTCCACGCGCGCCCAACGCAAAGAAAACATCGCATGCTGTCAGGAGTCGGAATGGCTCGGTATTACTTTCTCTACGCTGTCTTTCCAAGAAGCTCCTCCTGTAGGAAAGGTTTCAAATATGCCCTCACCCAAGCATCAACATTTGACATGCTGAGACGACATATACTATAAAGAGATGCTGTGGGCTCGCTTGCAGGCGCGAAACAAAACGACTTGAGCCGAAATGACGACGACGACGACGATACCTTAGAAATGCGAGGAGGGGATGAGGACGAGGAAAGGGATGGGCAGAGGGAGCATAGGAGAGAGGGAAGAGGGAGGGAAAAGGGGGAGCGGGAGGGACGCCGGGGAAAGAAAAACGGAGGAGCGGGAGGAGCCAGATCCTGAGTGTGTACCCACCTCCTTCTCGCACTTGTCCAGGATCCCATCCCAGAACAGCTTGTCCAAAGCCTCCTTGCTGAAAACCTCGATCGCACCGAGGAAGCCAAAATCTTCGTCAGTGTTTTTGATATAGATCGGCATCTCCTTCGGCGCGTTCAACTTCTGCAGATGCTGTTTGAGGCGGTCGGGGAAGAACACGCTGTCTGGGTCGACCTTAACAGACCAGTCGTGCCACTGGTACTGGCCGTCCTTCTTGACATCCCCCCAGACGGACTTGAAGACGTCGGTGTTGATGACGGAGGTCCACGAGCCTTCCTCTGTTTTGTCTGCGTGCCAGGTCCAGAAAACCGAGGACGCATCGCACGCGAAGATGCTGGCCCCCTTTTCCGCGGCGAGGTCTTTCAGCTGCTCCTCGTAGGAGCCGGGAAGCACGGCCATGAAGCAGTAGAGCGAGGTGCCCCTGGCCTCCTCTTAGAGCTGAGACGCCTATGCGTCTGAAGTGCCCTGGGGAGACTTTCGTGTAGCAGAGTGGACGAGGGGACAAAAAGGGCACACTTCACTGCATGGGTGTCTCAGCCCTGTCCTCTGGTGCCACGGGCGTGACAGCGTACTCGGCCCGTGCTCCACCGATGACTTCGCCAGTCCAGCCGTCAAGCTCGGTGATGTCCTCGTGTGTGCAGTACGCCTCGATTTCGTTCTTCCGCACGCAGCTCTGGCCCTCGTGGCAGCAGAGCTTGTTCACGGTGCAGGCCTCTGGGCGACTCAGGGGGGAACGCCACAACGAGCGGCCTTCCACACAGAACGCACCCTCACCACAGCTGGAACTCTTCGTCCTCCTTCTCGCGATGCCCCTCCTCCAGATTGTCTCCTCCTTGGCAAGGCTTAGGGTGGCGCGACAAACAGCCCCCAGAATTGGAGGCGGCAGGGGAGTCTGAACTGGTTGGGACCCCCGACAGTCGGTCAGGAAGCTGCACGGCGCCAAATCCGCTCAAAATCCGTCCCCAGACCCCTCCCGGTGTCCACCTGGTGCCACTTTTCACCTCGGCTTCGTTTCTGACGGTCCCGGGGCCCGATGACGGCCACCAGTGGCCGAAAAAGACAAAACGTCCCGAACCCAGCGCCTCGAGCCTCGCCCCCCCCCCCCGCCCTGCTCGCCGGAACCAATGCTCGGCCACCCCAGCCCTACTCCGGGTTTCTTGATGAGCGTGGGGGGATACCCCCCGACGGGGGTCAACCTCGCCTCGTCGTCGCACCGCGACGGGGGTCGGAGCGCCTTCGGCGTGCGGTGGCTGCCCGCGACGGCGGTCGATGAGGGGCTGTCGGCGGGGGTGGCGCCCCCCCGACGCTTACTCGGAGTAGCTGACTCCGACCCCAGAGGCAGCCGCAGCTGCCCTCAGCAGGTCCCCCTGGGCACTCTCCCGGGCGGTCTCGGTCCCTCGGGGCGCGTCGGGGTATGGAGGCCGCCCAGACAGAGCTCGAGTCGGGCGTTGCGTGATGGGGGGGGCGATAACTGGGGGACGAAGAAGCGGTTCCCTGGAAAGGAAGAGTGCACGTTTCCCCCCCGCCCCCCCCACCGCCACTTATCCCCCCCATTTCGCAACGCCCGACTGGGGCCAACCTGGACAAACTCTGGGGGCTGTCTGTGCGCAGCCCCAAATCTTGCCACTCATCCTCGTCCTCGTCCTCGTCCTCCTCCCCGTCCCTCTGGAAGTATCGGGGAGCCTCGGGGTCTCCGACGAGGTTTCAAGGTCGAATGCCCCCCTGCGAGACTCACACTTTTGCTATCCTGCCCCTCTGCCCGCTTCGCGCTCCGCTCCCTTTCTGACCTCTCTCTCTACCCATCTCTCCCTCTCTCTCGCACTCTCACCCTAACAGCCTCGAGGTTGGGACCTGGGCTCCTCAGGTCTCTCTGAAGTCTTCGAAGGACTTGACTCCCAATCCACTGGTGGCGCTGGGGGGGGCGACAAAAAGGAATACGGACAAACAAAAACAGTGTGACGTACCCAACCCTGTCTATACATGTGGCGATTATTCTCAGGACCACTCAATGCTGACTGGCATTCTGAAGGACCCGCAGTGCGCAAGAAGAGCACCCAGCAGTGATTTCAGAAGAGCGCATCAAGAAGAGGAACGGCAAATATACAAAATGGAAACACAAGGGCGTTGAAAGAAACGCGTATGACGTACCTCCGAGTGATCCGCGTGGGACGTACCTCCGCTGGGCCTCCCAGGAGCCCACGAAAGTGGCGGCAGTTGCGCAGATCGCAAGCCCCCCAGGTGGCGGCGAGGTCCCGAGGTGATCCGCGTGGGACCCACCTCCGCTGGGCCTCCCAGGAGCCCACGGAAGTGGCAACAATTGCAAAGATCGCAAGCCCCCCAGGGGGCGGCGATGTCCCGAGGTGATCCGCGTGGGAACCCACCTCCGCTGGGCCTCCCAGGAGCCCACGAAAGTGGCGACAATTGCGCAGATCGCAAGCCCCCCAGGGGGCGGCGAGGTCCCGAGGTGATCCGCGTGGGACCCACCTCCGCTGGGCCTCCCAGGAGCTAACGAAAGTGGCGACAGTTGCGCAGATCGCAAGCCTCCCAGGGGGCGGCGAGGTCCCGAGGTGATCCGCGTGGACCCACCTCCGCTGGGCCTCCCAGGAGCCCACGAAAGTGGCGACAATTGCGCAGATCGCAAGCCCCCCAGGGGGCGGCGAGGTCCCGAGGTGATCCGCGTGGGACCCACCTCCGCTGGGCCTCCCAGGAGCCCACGAAAGTGGCGACAATTGCGCAGATCGCAGCCCGACGGCACGAAGGAAGAGGAGAGGGGAACACCGGAAACAAGCGAGAAGGAGGAGGGGAGGAGAGGGGAGGAGAAGGAAGGAAGGACGGGGCGACCACACTGCTCTATTCAAAACGAGTACCCAACACAGGAGGTCTGGGAACTATGACTATTTGTGCCCCCAATTGGGTTTGCCCCCCCATACAACCAGTCAACCACCGCGATCGCTTGCCTCAGGGCGGGGCCCAGGGAGTGTTTTGAAGGGACCAGGAAGGGCCTGGGGGGCGACGACGACGACAACGACGTCGACGACCACGACGACGACGACGACGACGACGACGACGGACGACGACGACGACGACGACGACGACGACGACGACGACGACGACGACGACGACGACGACGGACGACGACGACGACGACGACGACGGCGGCGGCGACTCCCTACTAAGGATTCCCTACCAAGGACTCCTTGCTCATGATCCCT